GAGTAATAGTCTGTGAGAGTCACACAGCAAACAGATTCATTCCCCCACCAGCCACTCACAGCCCATTTAGGAAATCCAGCCGTAATGAAATGACCTGCATTTTATAAAGTGAGCATGGAACAGGGGTTTTGTTTCTAATTCGGCGAGCCATCCAGTTGCAGAGACAGATTTAACGGGGCCCAAAGAGAGTATGTTGATTTCGTCAAAGGGATATCCTGCTACAGCAAAGTGCAATGAAATTGCTGAGCGGTCGGGTTAGAACGGATAAGAGGAAGTACTTCTTCACCCAAAGAGTGATTAACACTTGGAACTCACTGCCACAGGAAGTGGTGGTGGCTACAAGCATGGACAGCTCCAAAAGGGAATTAGATAAGCATATGGAGCAGAGGTCCATCAGTGGCTCTTAGCCACAAGGTATAGATAGGGGCTCTGGGGCAAGGGATGCTCTGTCTTCTTGGTGCTAGGGGGGTCAACAGTGGGAGGGCTTCTAATGTCCTGGCCCCACTGGTGGACCTCCTGACGGCACCTGGTATTTCTGGCCACTGTGTGATACAGTGTTGAGCTGGATGGGCCTTTGGCCTGATCCAACATTGGCATCTCTTATGTTCTTATGCAATGAACGAGTACTGCTGGTTATTACGTGGCTAGCAATGAAGCAAGATCCACAGGCTCAGCGGACTTGAGTAGAATGGGTACTACTAACCTTTAAAGCCCTACATGGCTTCAGACCAGAGTATCTGATGGACCATCTTCACCCGTATGTTCCTGCCAGGGAATTAAGATCATAAGAAGAGATTCTCCTGATTGCTCCATCAAAGAAATTTGTCTGATGGGTACACAAGAGGGCCTTTTCAGTGGTAGCCCCACAATCACGGAATAACCTCCCAGGGAGGTGCGCTTGGCCCCCTCACTCTCTATCTTTAGGAGGTAGGGGCCTCATCTGCAATGCTCCCTCTAAGCTGTGGAGACTTATGAGCAAAAATTCTACTTTGTGAGCTACTGGCACTAGAGTTGTGAGTGAGCAATTTGGCTACTGCATAAATTAAGTTTGCTCTGGAGCCATCCTTCCTGAGCTAGGACAAAAGTGTGTGCGCCGGAGGCTAAAAAACTGTGAGCTAGCTCACACGAACTCAGCTTAGCAGGAACATTGCTCAGGTGTATATAATGCCACAAAATCCACCCTCCAGAGCAGCCATGCTCTCCAAGGAGACTGATCTCTTATTTAGGACTGCATTTGATTAAAGCAGTCCTAAACTGTGATTTCAAAAACAGTGATTCTAGAAATGGTGATTTTATGTATTTTTATGTACTGTATTTATACTGTAAGCCGCCTCGAGCTCCGTAAGGAAAAAAGACAGCTAATGTTTTAAATAATAAATAAATACATACTGGCTGCCATTGTTCATATTTTTAACCAAAAGGTCATGAATTTTACAACACTCGAACGTGTTCTAACATTATCATTAAACTTGTTATTTTACTTACTTAAATATTTTACATACTTAAAGCGTACACGCAGGAATTTTCCAGACTGATAGGAAATAAACATTCTTTTCAAGGTGGCTCTAATGACGAGCAATACGAAGGCACGCTCTGAGGTTTTACCTAACGTATAACGTAACCAAAGGCAGTAGTCATTCCACTCAATTAGTGATGGAATGACTACTATTACTAGCACTTTATGATTCTCTGACTGTTTTATAACGTTTTATGTGGATTTTATGGTACTCTGTACCGACTAATGTAAGCCGCCCTGCGCCTGTTTGCGGGGAGGGCGGGATACAAATGGAATAAATAAATAAAGATTTTTTTAAAACCCCAAGATGTTTAACGGGTTAACAGCCCTAACCTGTTTTCAAATAAAAGCCTCCAATCTTCCCTTGTTTCTAACAGGTCTCATTATGGAGTTGCAAGTTGTCCTATTAAAAACAAGGACAGAGAAGGCTGGAGGGAGGAAGGGAGAGCTAACAGATCCGTTCTGGAGCTTTATACGCTGTTTTGTGCTGCCCGCGGCCAAGAGACAAGACACTCGGATGCTTCCCAACTGCTATTCTGGCACATTCTGTGCTGCCTTCTGGCAGACCCTCTAAGGTTACTGTCAAGTCAAGCAAAGGGACTCACTTAATTTCCCTTTAACGGTTACGTCCAGATATGTTTCCCCAGGCCCACCGGGGGCGGCTGGTAATTTTTAACTGTTGCCTGACCAACCTGCTGAGTTCCTCTTGATCGGCTGATGTCTTGCAAATGCCGGGGGGGCCTGGATTCACTTAACAGCCCCGGCTTTCAATGGCTCTTAAAAGGAAAAGGAAAACAACTATTGCATAGATCAGGGGTGGCCAAACTGTGGCTCGGGAGCCGCATGCGGCTCTTTCACACATATTGTGTGGCTCCCGGCAGGGCAGCTGGGGAAGCTAAATATCATTAGCAAACAATTATCATTGGACAAATAAATCTCATTATCAATACCTGCTTTTACCACTTTTGCTATTAGTTTTGGTAGTCTCGTTTAATGTTAATAAAAAGCAAATGTGCATACTTGGTGGAAGGAGCTCCCGGAAGAGATCCGGGCCCTGCGGGACCTCTCTCAGTTCCGCAGGGCCTGCAAGACAGAGCTCTTCCGCCAGGCCTTTGAGTAGGAGCCGCCGCCACCACTATTCCACCTTTGCCCCCTATGCTCTAGCATATTAACATTATGATTGCCTGGCCCCCCAAGGGGGGAGTGAGGCGCCTGGGCACGGCTTAGATGATAAGATCTTAGGAAGTAGTTTGGAAGTTAAGATCTACCCATCTTGTCTAAATCTGTTTGTAAATTTGTTATTGTATTTTACTGTAATTTATTGTTTTTAAACTATGTGTTTACTGTTTTAACCTCGGCACATGGTGCCCTTGTTAGCCGCCTGAGCTTTCGGGGTAGGGCGGGATATAAATTCAAACATAAAAAAATTAAAAAATATATTTACCAATAAAACATGTGATATTTGTTCATGTCTTGCGGCTCTCAAACACCTGACGTTTATTCTATGTGGCTGTTATGTTAAGCAAGTTTGGCCACCCCTGGCATAGATACTCCTTGGCCGGCTACTGGGGGGGGGGGGGAGACTCCTGTGATAGCGAACGCAAGTACTTTACATCAGTCCCATTCAGACATAACCCAGAGCTTTAAGGCAAGGAGCTGTTAGCCAAATTGCTCTGAATTCTTATCAATATTGGGGGAATATGAGCTATTTATAAGTAGCAATTGGCATAAGGGAGCGATCACCTTTATATACAGAGGTCCCACCTCTCCAGAGTCTCAGTAACAGACAAGCAGACTGATATTAATTTAAATGAGAGCCAGTTTGGTGTAGTGGTTAAGTGCGCGGACTCTAATCTGGGAGAACTGGGTTTGATCCCCCACTCCTCCACTTGCACCTGCTGGGTGACCTTGGGCAAGCCATAGTTCTGATAAGAGCTGTCCTTGAAAAAGAGCAGTTTCTGTCAAGAGTTCTCTCAGCCCCACCTACCTCACAGGGTGTCTGTTGTGGGGAGGGGAAGGGAAAGGAGTTTGGAAGCCACTCTGAGACACCTTTGGGTAGTGAAGGGTGGGGTATAAACCCAATCCCTTCTTCTTTTTCCTAAATCAATGTATTTTACTGTATTTTATGCACATCCAAATATCCAAACACACACACAATTATACAGGACTAAGAAATTTACAGAGATTAGGATAGCACATTCGCATTAGCAGGAGGTTCGTTGGTTGGGCAATGCGTTTACCTGATCCTGAAGAGATAAAGTCTTCCAAATGGAAAAATAGGGGAATGCTAGAAAGATGGGGATTATACTAGGAAAAGGGAGCGTGCAGACTGAACCAGCAGAAAGCATGTGAAGACTGTGGCTGCAGTCCAAGAGTCTTAAGGCAGGGTGGGTGGCAAGGTAGCCACAAGTTCAAGAGGCAGAGAGTATAGAGGTCGTTGAGGGGGAGGAGAGAGAGCGTCTCTGCGTGTCACCTTTTATTAGGCGACCTTAGGAGGTGAGCTCTGCAGGTCCCCTCCCTTGGGATGACATGGGGGGGAGGTCTTGCTGTACCCCTCCCCTGGGACAGCCCCTCTGTGGTCCGTTCCAAAAAGTCACGTATGCCATGGAGGAAAGGGGTCTAGATGGGGCAATACTGAATGTTAATTAAGCTGGTAACAGAAACACCTGGATGGACCGTTGAGTCAGCGTTTAACACTGATTGTCCGCTTTGTCTTGAGGCTGCCAGAACTGGTTCTCCCAGCTGGGCTGCCGAGCCAATCCTTTTGTTAAGGGATTGTGGAAAATGTTCCTTTGTGTAGGTCTTACAGGAACAAAAAGGTTGGGGGGGGGAACATGTCAGCTTTCTGGAACAGAGTCACTTAATGGCGTTTTGACTCCATTGCTTAACTAGCAATGGCAAGCTGGCTGCTTCTGTAGTGCTTGTGGTGTGTATAGGAAAAGTCTCTGGAACAGGGCAACCTCTTGGAAACCATGGGCACATCACCTCAGGCATCTGCTGGTGTGTGTGTCTGGCATCTCACTCTGGTCACCGGGCATCATAGTCCTTTTACACCCTGGTGCACAGTTCATAGTTCATAAGAGAGCAAAAAGCTCCTTGCTGGCTAACATAGCCATTCAAGGTTGGCATAAAAAGCAGCCAACACAGGGCGCCATTTTATTTTTTTCCCCTACCACCTAGTCACAGCCAGCTTATGGCGACCCCATATGGTTTTCAAGGCAAGAGACATTCAGAGGTGGTTGGCCCTTGCCTGACTCTGTGTAGTGACCCTGGACTTCCTCAGTGGTCTCCCATCCAAGGTACTAATCGGGGCTGACCCTGCTTCCCACTTCTCACCGAGAAGTCAAGGCAAATCCACACCTCTGACCCATCACATGGCAGAGATCCGTGTGACAGAATAACCTCCCTCTGCTGGAAATGCAAGACACCTAGTTAGTTGGCAGGTGGGTATTATATGAAAGACAGACAAGTGTGTTTTAACATGGCACTTTTTAATATATTACTTTTGCATTTTTTTAAAAACCAAACAGCAAGTTTTAAAGCCGCCATTTTGATTTTAAAGCAGCCTGTGGAAATGCTACGGAGCCTTTCGTTGCAAACCCCACATGCCCTCCCCCACCTTTGTTTTTGAGCTGTCCATTTAGCGCATGAAGCAGTACAGCAGAGCTACTGAAAAGCTGAAGGCGCTTCGTTCCATGCATCTGCATCTGCTGACTTGAGACGGAGCCAAAAAAACACGCACAGGGTGTTCTCCATGCTGTGCCAGAGCAGAGCGATAAGTCAGTGATGGTGATTCCCATACTCTGTGCAAATGCACGGCATGATCAAGAGATTTGACAGAGAACAGTCTATAAAACCAATACCTTATTGGGGAAGGGAGAGGGGAGGCTGTTTTGTTTGTGCGTTTGGACAAAAAGCCTTCCCTTCCTCATCCCCTTTTATCTCGGTAACTTCGGTATTGATTTACCGTTCCCTTTAATGTGCCAGAGCACTCAGGTGTTCCACAGTTCCTTTGAAGACGAGGATTAAACAAGGGTATTGATCCGGCGAGCGAGGCGAGGGACAACATGCGGTTCACGGGAGTCACTCCTGGCTCGCCGCTTCACCGAGGAGAGTTTACCCAACGTGTTTGTTGGAAGTACGGCCTTCAACGAATCGAGTTCTCTCCCCTCCCTCTCTGGCAAAGGATGTCCCGGGCAAAGAACATGGCCTGAGAGCTCAATACTGAACCCTGCCGCAGCTAAAGGGGGGGGGGGAACCCCTGCTGATTTATCGGCAGCGTTTTTCTCTCTCTCTCTCTCTCTCCCTCTCTCTCTCTCCCTCTCTTTTAAAGAATCTCCCATTTAATTAAGTAGATACTTGCTCCTTAAGGCTGCCCTGTTTATTCAAAGCTTGCTGTTCTGCTGAAACTGAGACACCAAGCTGAGGATCTGTTCCGAGGCTTTGATCTGCTTAGCTCCGAGGTACGTGGCGCTGTTCTGAGCCGAGTCGTCCAGAAAATAGCGATAGTTGACCATCATGCCGCAGGAAGCCGTGATGCCGCGAGGGCTCGTGTCCGCCATCCAGTTAAGGCGCCATAGCTGGGGGGGGGGGGAGGAAACCACATATTTGATTATGGGTTCAGATGCATAAAGGGTTCCCGACAGCAAGAATCTCACATTTTTCACTAAGAAAATCATCAAAACAACACTTAAGTCAGCAAGAACAAGTGATTTGAGATAACATGACCTTCATGAGCACACGAGAGAAGGGTTTTTTGGTGGCAGCCCCACAATTATGGAATCACCCACCCAGGGAGGCTCATCCACACTGTCAATCTTCAGGAGGCAGCTGGAGAGAGTTTTATTTAGGACTGCATTTGATTTAGTTTTAATTTACTGGCAGTCCTAACTGGAGTTTTTAAATTGCAACGTAAGAACATAATAAGAGCCCTGGTAGATTAGACCAGGAGTCCATCTAGTCCAGCATCCTGTCTCACAAAGTGGCCAACCAGTTCCCATGGAAGTCCAACAACAGGACATAGAGGCCAAGACCATCCCCTGATGTTGCCTCCTGGCTCTGGGATTCAGAGATTTAGTGCCTCTAGGTGTGGAGGTTCCCCTCAGTGACCATGGCTCGTAGCCACTGATAGACCTATTCAACTTCTTTATGTGTTTTGATAATTGTGGTTTTATTCATATTGTTTTTATTGTTGTCGAAGGCTTTCACGGCCGGAGTTCATTAGCTGTTGCAGATTTTCTGGGTTGTATGGCCGTGGTCTTGGCATTGTAGGACCTGACGTTTCGCCAATACCGGTGACTGGCAGCCTCAGAGGTATAACACAGACAGATGGAAACCAGAAACCTCCTCAGGAAACAAGCCATATACAAAAGAACCTCCTCAGGAAAGCTCCTCCATTAGCATGTTCACAGCCTGGGGAGCTCCTACAGGATAATGACTCAGCCCTACCCCACCTTCCTGAGTAGATATAAATTACCTACCAACCATTTCTCTTCTCACCTTGACACAGAGAGTACTCCGTCTTTCTGTGTTATACCTCTGAGGAGGGCAGTCACAGCTACTGGCGAAATGCCAGGTCCTACAATGCCAAGGCCACAGCCATACAGCCCGGAAAAATCTGCAACAGCTAATGTTCTTATTGTGTTTGTTATAATAAGCTGCCTTGCATTCTGTCAGGGAGAAAAGCAGCGAATAAATGTTTTAGATAAAGAAATAAGTAAATACAAAGGATGCCTCGAGTCAAGAGATGATGCTTAGACACAACTCCTGCATCTTTTTCATAACTGCATTTCAAAACATTGTTGAACGCACGTCTGCTCAGGCAGAGAAACACACTGACGGTCCCTCGTTTCTCATTTCTGCCCAATGAAATAAATATCCTCTACCCATGACCCAAATACTGAGGTAGTAAATTAAATTCCCAGCAGGGTAGTTTTTAACGGCATAAAGCTGTGATCGGTCGTTCCCTCACAGATATTAGATGAAACTCCACAGATATGGGGATATCAAATTCTTTCTCGGCCTCTTGAAAAAGTTTCAGGTAAGTGATACAAAATTTATTCAGCAAACAGAAATATTTCTCCTCCTGGCACTGCAACCTGGCAGCATGACAACGGTGCCACTCGGCCTCAGGAAGCAAAATGTGCCACCCTTTGCAGAGAGAGACCCTCCCTACTCTTTGGCTGCAAAGTTAGAGAGAGAAAACATTTCACAAAAATAGCATCCTTGCTGCAAACAAGAATAGAATTTGAGAAAAGGTGTGACAGCGGAGAGACACAGAAAAGCTACAGGTTTACTCCACAAACAAGCAGTTCTCAATTTAAAATGTGTACCCAAATGTCTGGCAGCTACAGGATGGGTCAACGGGCATGCAGTATTTTGGGGACCACTGTAAGACTAAAGAATCCACACCGTTCTCAGCCGAACAAAGAAGTATACAGCAATCGTCATCGATATTCTCATGAAGACTGCGGCTGAAAAATGACAGGCTTCGGTGAAAGGTGCTCATAACCTGAATACTGAAGTGGCACGGTCTGAATGAATGCAGCAGAGACCAGAGTGTTAGGGGTGAATCATCACTGGGTTCTGGGCAGAGCCTAATAAAGCCATGCAGTCAGCTAGTAGAGTTTTGCCTCCTATCTGTCTAGCCCAATTGTTAAAGGCATAGTGGAGGAACAAGCTCACGGAATGCTCTTCCAATGCATTCGTATGCCTATTTATTTAAACCTATTTTCCACCCCACACCATTTTCCATCTTGTAAAGGTTCTCTAGGAGACGTACAAGGAAAAAAGCATGCCTACTCAAAACACACAAAAACCATCAGCAGTAAACCTAACACAATAAAAATGCCAACAATTAAAATTTTAAAGGTTCAGTTTAGCAACAGGTAAAAAAAACCATTCCCAACAGTTTAAGCAAGAAAGAAAAGCAACCATGTATGCACACACCCAAAGTCCTATTCCCCAAAAGCCTAGTAGAACAAAGATGTTTCTAGGTAAAGGTTTCCCTTGCTCGAAAGCCAGTTGAATCCGACTCTTGGGTTGCAGTGCTCATCTCCGTTTCAAAGCCGAAGAGCCAGTGCTGTCTGAAGACGTTTCCGTGGCCATGTGGCCGGCATGACTAAACACCAAGGCGCACGGAACACTGTTACCTTCCCACCAAAGCGGTACCTATTTATCTCCTTGCAATTTCTTGCTTTCAAACTGCTAGGGTGGCAGGAGCTGGAACCAGAGACGGGGGCTCACTACATCACGCGGCACTCAGATCTCGAACTGCTGAACTACCGACCTTCCAGCCTGCAGTTCAGCGTCTTAACCACTTGAGCCACCATAAACTTAGTACGAAAGGCGATAGGTGTACAACAGCGGAAAGACCCCCCAGAGTCAAGGTCAAGATGGGCAGCCGTGTTAGTCTGTCTGCAGCGGTAGAAAAGAGCAAAACTCCAGTAGCACCTTAAAGACCAACAACATTTGTGGCAGGGTATAAGCTTCTGTGAGTCATGCTCACTTCTTCAGATACCAGGTGCCACCACAGAGAAGGCCCTGTTCTTTGAGGCCACCCAATCTTACTTCAGAGCACCCACAACACTGCCTCTGATGCTCATCTTAATATCTGGGCAGGTTCCTATGGGAGATTGCAGTCCTTAGGTATCCTAGTTCCAGTCTACTTAGGGCTTCAGATGTAAACTTCACGTCTAGGAGCAGCAAATGGAGCCATCTGCCACCTCTCTGTACGCCCTTAAATGTAAATACCAGCACAGTTGCAACTAAACCTTGGAAGAGGATCTCTAACTACATCTTTGTGAAGAGCAGACTACATTCCCTCTGAAACATGCGTTGTCAGTCAAACTGGAGCCAAGGCAGACCAAGTATAATGAAGGGAGTGGGGGGGGGGAAGCTGAAATGCTATCATCACTTACAAAGGAAAAGGATGCTAAAAAAGATAAACTGGTGATTAAAGGAATTCCCTTCTCTTGGGACTTAAGCTGGATGTTTGTCTGTACTTGCCATTAACAAAATTCAAAGTCATCGACAACTCAAAGGAGCTCTTAGCCACATGCATAGAAAGATCTACTCCTTGGACTGCAGGCAAAATGTTCTTGTGTTCTGTGGGGTTCAGTTTCTTTAGGAGTTTCTGTCTTGTGTACATCTGGATTGCCGGATCCGGATTTGTCTTTTAATAGTGTTTCTGTTGTTTACCGCACACAAAAAAGTAAACCTCGGCATAATTTATGGAGGCAAGGTCTACTGGGGGGCTGAGGTAGGGGGAGGAAACAGAACACACAAAAAATTAATCCCACGCTTCTTTTATTTCAAAGAACGACAAGACAGATTTGGCAAACGACCCCGTTTTTGTAGTATCTCATATCTGATGAATGGCTGAGTTTAGAAGCTTATCTTATGTGGCCAGTTCCTGAAGAAAATAATAAATAGACGCAGTAAAGCATGGCCATTTATGCTGCCGCTAAATTGATGTGCTACTTTTCCAGGGCTGCTCCTGGTAGAGATCCGTTAATGTTTATTTCCTTGTCAGGAACCCACACGCCATTAAGAAGCAGATGCTGGGCTCATTTCGCTGCTGCTGCTGCAGAGGACTGCAGAGAAGTCTTTTTGCTGTTATCAGTGACTCATCTGAAACTCTGGCGCACTGCATTAGCCAAGCCGGGGGGAGATGGAAGCTCTGCCCCCATATTTCACCCAGAAAAAACAAAGCTGGAGTCAGGAAGTTATCCTGGGCGTAAAGGATTAAGACAACATCAGCAGCCTCACGAGAAAGGAAAGCTCTTGTTCAAGGTTCCTTGTGGGGTTTTTTTACCTTGCACGCTGTGCAGATTATAAAGACAGGGGTCTTAAGGCACTATAAAAGGCCAAAAAGTATTGCAGCAGAAGCGCCTGTGGACTAGAGCGCCCTTTGCAGGATGCAATGAAACATTCTTAACTAGTTGTGGTTTTTTTTTTATCTTGCTTGGGAAAACAAACAGAGCTGAGTTTGGCTACTGCGCAAAAATGCTATTTTCAAAGATGACTGCGTGCTCCCAGCCCTGGGCACTGTTTGCGATTTAGGCATTTCACGGCTACCCTTATGAAGCCCAACAGCAGAGCTGCTGCTTCTGCGGCTACAATGGCATTTACATGCCCAAGTACCACGCTGCGATACACGAAGGTAAATAGAGATGAAGGAACGAAGACAGCCGGCCATCTTCACTAAACAGAGTGTGTGTGTGTGGAGAGACAGGTAGTAGTTCCTTTAACAGCTTGAGGCCAACTCTGGAACAAAAGAAACACTCTGGGAACTTAATCAAGCTGAAGTATTCAAACTGGCTTCACAGCCCTAACAAGAATATACCTCCACGTTTTTACAGATCTCTTCTAGCCTTTTTGGAAGTTTCCTCCACAGTACATGGTTGGAAACAAACACAAACAATAGCACAAATAATATTGAGAATGGAACGTGGACAGCTGCTGCAGACAGAGAGAGGTCCATCAGTGGCTATGAGCCACAAGGTATAGATAGGAACTCTCAGTCTGGGGCAAGGGATGCTCTGTATTCTTGGTGCTTGGGGGGGGGTGTCAACAGTGGGAGGGCTTCTGGTGTCCTGGCCCCACTGCTGGACCTCCTGATGGCTCCTGGTGTTTTGGCTACTGTGTGACACAGAGTGCTGGACTGGATGGGTCATTGGCCTGATCCAACATTGGCTTCTTTTATGTTCTTATGTTATGAGTGAATTGGATAAACATATGGAGCAGAGGTCCATCAGTAGCTATAGCCACAAGGTATAGATAGGAACTCTCAGTCTGGGGCAAGTGATGCTCTGTATTCTTGGTGCTTGGGGGGAGGCAACAGTGGGAAGGATTCTAGTGTCCTGGCCCCACTGCTTGACCTCCTGATGGCCCCTGGTATTTTTGGCTACTGTATGACACAAGAGTGTTGGACTGGGTGGGCCACTGGCCTGATTCAACATTGGCTTCTCTTACGTTCTTATTTTTAAATGGTCTTATTTCCTGCCATCTAGGGCACAGCTCAGCAAGGACCTGGGCCCATATGGGAAATCTCAAGTAGTTAGATAAAGGGAACAGACCCACAAGAAATGGGACAAAACTGAAGCAGGCCAAAGGCCCCACACTCCTTGGTAAGACATCTGTTCCTCTCTCGGCTCGACTCACAAATTTCTGGGAGGCTAACGTAGCATTCCATTTGGTTATTCCAAGGGCAGGGTCCATCCCCCCCCCTCCCTTTTGCCATCAAGTTGCAGCTGACGTATGGTGATCGACCCCATAGGGTTTTCGAGGCAAGAGAGAAACAGAAGTGACTTCCTGGGTGGTCTCCCATCCGCTGACTGTACGTTTAGTACATACGCTGCTACTACTCTACGGCCATTACCATATAAATTGTTTTTCGTAGGTATGTCGTGTTTTATACTGACATTTATATTGTTGTTTTATCTGTCACTAGCTTTATGTAAGCCGCCCTGAGCCTGCCTTGGCAGGGAGGGCAGGGTACAAATCAAATAAATAAATAAGTACTAACCAAGGCTGCTCCCTGCTTAGCTCCCAATGGCTACGGAAGAAAGTGGGGATATTTTTGGTTTCAAGGCAGAAAGTGTGCCACAAAGGGGAAATCTGGCCCAAAACTTTATATGGGCAGGGGTTATCCGGGGCCGGAATGAGTCGGGGCAGTGCTCTGGCAGCCCAGGGGTGGGCACAAATGGCGGTGGCGGCAAGCCCCGCCCCCAGTGGGCTTGCAGAGGAAACGAAAAGAGAAGGGGTTTTAAGTTTAAACTCGACACATCTGGTTGCGGCGCAGCGGTGCGGGGAGAGTGTAGTATAAGTCACCGTGCCTTTTTTTAAGGTTGTATTGTTTGTCTGTTTGTTTGGTTGGTTGGTTCTGGAAAATTAATAAAAACTTATCAAAAAGAAAAGTTTAAACTCCTCTCTAGAGTCACACCTTAGTGGCGGCACGATGGGGCCATAGAACACAATGGAAAGATCATGCTGCCACTGTGGTGCAACTCTAGAGAGATGTCTTCGCTTCCCCCTCACCCCGCCTTGGCAGGCCGGCTTGGGAAGGGAAGGGGAAGCTTTTGAAGATGCCCCCCCCTGCTTCCCCTTCTGACACACTTCCGGTGATGTCAGGGGGTGTGGCATAGGCTAATGAGATGCTAACAAGTATGCTAATGAGCTCCTGCACCTCTTTTTCTATGAAATGACCCCTGTATATGGGCATTAGCAAGATGATAATCCATCATTTTATACTGAACCTAAAGAACAGCCACTCTGGTGGACTACAAATGAAGCCCAATAATAATAATGACTGGATTCTCTAGGATTTCAAGCCCCTGCATTTATTCACTTAAATATTCATAACACACTTTTCCCTACCAGGCTGAAGGTGGGTTCATAAAAATTCCTGCCCATGCACACAGAATTTAGAAAAGTTGGTGTTAAAAGAAACAAAACAGCAACCAGGTGGCATGTCCAATTCATCACGTAACACCCCCCGCCCAGAGTCATTCTGCTTTCTCACCTTAATGCAACTGAAGATTCATTACAAATACTGAAAGTTAAAAACACGGCTCCGAGCTGCTTAAACAGTTAAAATTTGCCACCGCTGCAATCCAGACAGCTCAAAAACGTCTCTCTCCCCACATTCAGACACAGCCACAATGGCAATAATTTAACATGTTCTTTTTCTTGGGAAATTAAAAGTTACAGAAGCTTGAAATTAAGTGATTTGGAATTAATCAAATAGATGAGAGAAAACAAAGCAAATAATGATATATCTTAGTTCCTCATGCATTGTTTATTCCCCAAAGGATATTTCAGATCCAGCCATGAGAAATGTATTACAACACATTAATGTCTATGGGAATGAACCCCAGGAAATGGAGCAGTACCAAGCAATTCAGTTTGATATTTAAATGGGGAGGCTGCACTTTTAATAAGACAACTTCTGAAGTTATCTGCCTTAAATGGGGTCACAGCATTTAGTGGCTCAAAAACAAACAAACAAATTTCTCCTTTCACCTGCACCAAAAGTACAGCCCACAAACCCTTCACACAGCTAGTGACCTCCCAATGCAATGTCACTGAGACTCACACAACTGAATAAAAGGTGGGTCATCTTTCTGCACATATGGCCCCAGATACGGATCAATAAATCTACACAAAAGGGCCACAAGGAAGATATTTCTACAAACTTGGCGGGGGGGGGAAACCCAGGTTTACAGAAAAATCTGACACTGAAAAAATGGGCTTTAAAAAAAAGCTTAACCTCAGTTTAAGGGGGGGGGGGGTAATCCGAGATTTCACACTATGTTGCAAAAACTCTGCAGACATTATGAGGAAGGAGGTAGTGGGGTAGTTGAGAGAGGAATCACTGCCAAAGTAGGGAAGTGAGTGAACAAGGGAGGTGGGTGAGCAGGTGGTGGCAGTGAATGGGGCGGCAGCAGAGAGTCGCCACCGCCACCACCAGGCAGATGAGAGGACGGGAAGATGGGGGCGGCACCACAAACAAGCAAGCCAGCCGTGGGCAGAGATGGTGGGGAAGCCAAGAGAGGTGTTGCCACTGGGCAGGAAGACAAACCATGCAGGTGGCATAGCAAGCGAGCGGGGCATACACCACGAAGCCCAATAAAGAATATTTGATGAACAGTAGTTATAATTGGTTGGTTGGTTACTTCCCACAATGAGAAAAGATACCTTTACACATTGATCTGCTATTTTTGACACATATATTGCTTTACAACTGTTGACCTTATAACCTTATCTTGATATCTAGTTTTGCCTTTGCACATCCTCATCATGTTACATGTTACTTTGCTGTTCAGTCCCTGTCTATAAGTTTGAACCTTACCTACCATTCCCATGTATTTGAAAAAGTGTGCATGCCGGCTCATACCTTGAATAAAACTTTGTTGGTCTTAAAGGTGCCACTGGACTCTAAATTTGTTCTACTAATTCCATAGTTCAACATTTGGAGTAACATCAGGGATATAAAATTAAAGTTGCCTAAATACACATATGAATAAATCATCTTAGGAACTGCTGAGAGGGGCTCAATTCTCATAAACAAAAGATAAAAGAAGTGAATCTCCTTGTGGACTGTATCACTTCATAGTACAAGTGACCGAGATGGGAGCAGTCACATGATTATATTATCCTTCCTGTTTACAAAAGAAATCCCCATATATAGGAAAAATGGGTGTCTGGATGAAGAAGTCCAGCCAGAAGTCCACTTTTTCTATGTGCGGAAATTTCTCTTTTATGCAAAGTCATTAAGCTGATCCCCCACCTACAATCTGAAGGAACATAGTACGGAAATGGGCTTGCTGCCCAAAAACTAGACCACAGAGCCACTACGGCAGATCATGGTCTTTCCCCCAAAACCAACAAGAATATTTTTCTCCAGTGAAGCTCTAAAAGAACCAAACTTTCCTTAAATAAGTGTAAATTTAGATAAGAACTTAACCATGCCAGGCAAATTATTTTAGCTGCTTTTAAAGAAAAAAGACACAAAAGGCCTTAAGCAGCAGCTATAATGGACAGCAAGAAGGTGGGCGGGGGGGAATCAACTGCAGCAAATAATATTTTTGAGTAAAAGGTCCACAAATATACATAAGTGTGTTCATCATCTAACATTTGTAGTTAACCGATACTGGACCAACTCCATGCACACGGCTTCTGCATATCCACTAGTGCTTCCAAGCATGCAGGCATGCCCATACACACAACCCGCATGCTCAGACCATTCAAGGATGTCCTGTGATACCAGTTTTGCATCCCCAAAAACCACTGAAAGAACTGAGGAAACACAAGTAGCACTTTTGCACCTACCTGAAGTTCCTTAACAACTCGTTTGATGAGGTACGTCCCCAGCTCTACACCCTGCAGGCCCGGCTGAGTCAAGCTGATGGAATAGAAAATGGCTGTATTGATTTTGTTCAGGTTCTCCACTTCTTGGGAAGGAATCTCTTTCACTATGCCCTAGAAGATGATAGAGAGAATTAGCAACAGTGATCACAGGCCAAAGCCAGTGGCTTCACATCCCATAAATCTGTGGGCCACAACCCGGCAAGCTGAATGACTTGCTGCGCAAAGCTTAACTTGTTTTTGAATGTATTTTTAATGGTATTTTTTAACTGCACGGCAACCCTTTGAACATCATGTATCAATCCACTTTTGAAACACAAGAGAGTTTGAGGAACAGGTTGTGACATCACACTGGGAGCTGTGGGGGAGATGCAAGTGTTTGCACTGGGCATGTGCAAGGCCTTACATATGTAGAGGACTCTGGACTGTGTGATTTCACCAAGGAAAAAGTAGCACTGGTGTAAAGTATACAGGGCCCCGGTCACACGGCAAAGTTGCCACGGGAGAGGCACGGATGGTGGGTGGATTATCCGGGCGCGATCACACCCCAACTTCTGGGAAGTGGAGCGCACCCGTGGCTTACCGCCGACAATGCGCGTTAAAAAACTAGTACCTCCAAGGTTTGCCACCGGCTGCCTCCAGATGCCCATGATGTGATGGCGCGCGGCATTCCCCTCCAGTCCCTCGTTTACCCGCCGGCGCCGAGGGAAGGACCGGTGGTGTGCTGCCGGCGCGTCTGATCGCGTAATCGCGGATCAAACTGCACCGGGGCAATTAGCCACACCTCCCCCCCGCGATATCCGGCCCGTGTGGCCGGGGCCCAGGACATTCTAAACGCTGTTACTAAACATAGCTTATAACCCTAACCACGGTTGAGGGTACTTCCAGTGCCCGCGCACCGTAGCCTCTGGAGGTGAAGCAAGACCTGTAACTGTATTTTCTCAGTCCTGACATCACACCAAACCATAATTACCACTGGTCATATTAGCAAACCTACTTCAAGACATTGTCTCTGACTTTCCAACCAATCACAGCAATGGTTTGTCAATTGAGACTTCGTGCAGAACCGTATTGAGCCATGCTTTGGTGCAATACCTGCCGTGCGCTATTTAAGAGCACCATTAGAAACGTTACGAGGAAAAGTCAACCTAACGATTAGATACACAATTACATTGTCTTCTATCACTCTAGATGGGTTTCAGAAACATGGGTAAACAAAAGAAGATGGCGCCTATCCTTCTCTAGAGCTGGAAAGTAGCGATTTCAATGCCCAGTAAATAGGCACGTGTGAAGAATAACAGCTGCTTTGAGACAACTAGGAATTATTAAAGTTTTAAAATTTTGTATCGCTATTATTATTACACCAATATAAGCAGCTTTTACCGAACTTTCAGAAAGGGATCCATGAGTTTCTACTGAGAAACTATTACTGCTACACATAGTATTCTTGGGTCATGGAAATTTGCTTGGAAGTACTGTGTAGCTATGAATTGGAGATCTGATCTATGATTAAGACCAACCATCAACACACAGGGCTGATTCTCAGCCAAGGCAACTCCCCAAGGCACTGACAATACTGGTCCCTGTGCGCTTGGTCAAGTACAGCCTTCACATTTCCGCTTCCCCTTTTGCTTGCTGGCAACACCGATATCTTTTGAAGGTAGACACTGTGGGGTTTTGGACACTTAGACCAAAAACGTTGCCTCTCCCAGCCTTATTACCAGTGTTCCCTCAGAGCTGAGATAGTATGAGCTAGCTCACAGTTTTTTAGCCTCTGGATCACACATTTTTGTCTTATCTCAGGAAGGATGGCTCCAGAGCCAAATAATTTATGCAGTAGCCAGATTGCCAGTAGCTCGCAAAGTAGAATTTTTGCTCACATGACTCCACAGTTTAGAGGGAGCATTGCTTATAGCCCTGCATTTGCCACCTGCCAAGTAACTGGGCCATACCTGGATGCTGCTGGAGATCTCATCCGTAAGCGCCACGTGCAGAACTATCAAGGGCTCGCTGGGAATCGCACAGTGAGCGAAGTAGTAGCACCTTCTATAAGGCCCGACTCGGCGCTTCATATCCATCCAATTTCTAACAGGATGCACAGCTTCACTGCTGCGAAGAGGCAATGTTGGCCGGGTGAATAATTTACATTTTAATACCGAAGTCGAAAATCCATTTAACAACTGTTACTTCATGCTAAGGAACTGAGTTTTATTTACCCCATATATTTTCTCATGAGAACAGCAATACTAGCCTGCCATCTGTACGTGCAAGTCTGCAGGAGACCCAGCCTTCCTTGGCACTTACTCACTAATCTTCTGAAGGATTTCGCAAGGCGACTGCCACGTGACTCTCTCCAAGTTTAGGAATCCGGCAGAGAACCATTCCGACAGCATGTTTTTTAGCACTCCATTCATTTCCTGGAATGAGAGAGGAGAGGAACAGTCTTTCATCAGGGCAGCCATAAAAGCGTAACAGTTTGGTTTTGTGAGAACCTAAGTGTAGCAGGATAGGCATGAGACGATTGGCATTTCCTGGTTACAACCAACGCTCCCTCTTAAGCTGTGGAGTCTTGTGAGCAAAGAGTCTAGTTTGTGAGCTACTGGCATTGAAGTTGTGAGCGAGCTGCATAAATTAGTTTGCTCTGGAGCCCTCCTTCCTGAGCAAAGACAAAAGTGTGTGAGCTGGAGGCTAAAAAACAGTGAGCTAGCTCATAGTAACACAGCTTAGAGGGAACACTGGTTACCTCTCTATAGAATAAAGGCTTCCTCAGCCACCAGCAGATTCGGAAAGGCGTATCTACGGCCTCATTGGACTGTGATCTCAGAACAAACACAGAGCAGAACAGTCTCGAACTCTGCCATTAACTCCCTTACAAAAATAAAAGCTGGAGTATTTAGAAGGCACACGTTCTAAAAAGAGAGAGTTCTCCTGCCCAATTTAATCGATTCCAGAAACTTCAAATAATTTTTTTTTTTACAGCTTAAAAAGTATTTTAATCCTTTTAATACACTATGCTACTAGACTAGCAATGTTGGCTACAGGCAGTACATAACACAGGAATATTTCATTCCTTAATAACCCACCCATAGCTTTAATTAAATTAGTCCTTTCTCATAAAAAATTCCATCAAACAAAAACAGCTAAAATGTATCAGCGGTTATGTCTACACGAATCATTCTTGCGACTGAAAAACTGGTTCTTAAAGCTTCCTTCAAACAGCCATGCAAGTTCTTCTCAGAGAATCTTAATGCGCCACTCCATTTCTTATTAATGTTCCTCCTTTAATTTATTCGTTTTTCCATTTGCTAAAGTCTGAAAGCTCAATTACATCGCTTTCCTTTCTATATACAATGAAGGTTACAAACCACCCAACACCCTCCCACTCGTTCCAAGAGAGCTGTTACCGTACCTGCAGAGGAAAGACCAAGAGAATGAGACCCCACAGATCAGCATCAAACTGTCCAATAAAGAAGAGACCCCTACTACTGGCAGGAAATCCCCAAGGCAATTCTCAATCTACCTAGCAATGTAAATCCAGTAAAAGTATTGTAAGCCACTCTGAGCCTGCTTCGGCAAGGAGGGCGGGGTATCAATAAAATAATAAGAGCTTGGATTTATACCCCGCCCTTCACTACCCAAAGAAGTCTCAGAGCGGCTTACAAACTCCTTTCCCTTCCCCTCCCCACAACAGACACCCTTGGGAGGTAGGTGGGGCTGAGAGAGCTCTGACAGAAACTGCCCTTTTTCAAGAACACCTCTGACAGAACCATGGCTTGCCCAAGGTCACCCAGCAGCTGCAAGTGGAGTGGGGAATCAAACCCGGTTCTCCCAGATTAGAGTCCGTGCACTTAACCACCACACCAAACTGGCTCTCACACCAAACTGGCATGCTTGTTTTCACAAGGCAGAAAACCCAGGGAGTTTTTAAAGCTTCACTAAATGGGGGAGAAACTCTGGTACCTGCCAGAACAGCCCAAGCACACCTGATGGCTGTGACACTCATAACAATGTTCTTCAAACTTTTTGAAATTCTTCCTCTCTCCTCCTCTTCTCTGTTCTGGAATCCCCAGCCCAGATTGTCCTTACATGCACCCGTACCACAGGCAGCCTTCCAGTACACTTGAGTATCAGGGTTCTAATCAACAGCAACATAAGAAGATTTTGGGGGGGGGGGAACTCTGATTTCCTCCTAAAACCATTCACCAACATCAGCTCACTTTTCCAAAACTGTTTACGGATGCTAAAATCCCTCCTCCTCGAGCTCGAGCGTGTCCAGAAGAGGGCAACCAGGATGGTGAGAGGGTTGGAATCCAAGTCTTATGAGGAAAGGCTGAAAGAGTTGGGTATGTTTAACCTGGGAAAGAGAAGGCTTAGAGGAGACATGATTGCAGTCTTCAAGGATTTGAAGGGCTGTCATGTAGAAGATGGAGCAGATCTATTCTCTCTTGCTCCGGATTGCAAGACTAGATCGAATGGGTGGAAATTACAAGGGAGTCGATACCGGCTAAATATCAGGAGAAACCTCCTAACGGTAAGAGTGGCTGAGCAGTGGAACAGACTGCCTCGGGAGGTGGTGGACGCTCCTTCGCTGGACGTTTTCAAGCGGAGGCTGGATGACCATCTTTTGGGTATGTCGTAGGGCTGTCTTCCGGCTATGCTCCTGCAGAGTGCAGGGGGTTGGACTAGATGACCTGCAAGGCCATCTCTAGCATTCTATGATTCTTGTAGTTGCTTCTTTTGAAAACCATGGCAATTTTTAAAAGCAGTTTGCAATGCTTTTGAGAAGGGGACAAGCAACTGCGTGCATAATCTTTTGCACACCTGTGAACTGCCTTTGTGTTGTGGCAGACTTGAACAAACACACGAAGTTGCCTTCTACTGAATCAAACCAAGGTCCATCAAGGTCAGTACTGTCTACTCAAGACTGGCAGCAGCTCTACGGGGTTCCAGGCAGAGGTCTTTCACATCACCTACCACCAGATCTTTTTAGCTGGAGTTGCCGGAGACTGAACCCGGGACTTTCGGTATGCCAAGCAGATGATCCACTGCTGAGCCACATCGACCACCACCCCTTCCATTATGGAGAGACAGAACCATGCACAAGTTGCCTTCCTGATGCAGGCGAGCACACATGAATGACTGCCAAGAGCTGCTGCCACTGAAATTCGATAACAATAAAATTAACTACTTCTGCCTTATTTCAACATGGCGTGATAATTTCCCACAATTCTTGCTTCACCTGCAAAACTCCATCTGCCTAGACGGATACTGGTATCGAGGCTGTTTTTAGAAATGACATACCTGTACCGTTCACAGGGTTTACTATTGCTTTGGCTTAAAGCTTTTGCAGGTGACGAGACTTAAAAGGAGTTCTGGGGGCACATCAACGGCTTGAAATAAAAGCAAAATCTCCCAGGCTCTCAAAAATAGATTGTCCTCCATGCTATCGAAGTACTTTCTTCTTCTTTTTATATTCTCAGCGAGATTTCTTTTTTTACCGGGAAGTCTATAGCTGAACTTTCGCTGGCAGACATGCCTGAACAGAAGCACTGCACCTAGGTCAGAAGTATCTATCATCTTCCACAAATTCAGCATGAAGACATTTACTGTTTCTTAGCAACTAGTCACAAAGGAGTCTAGTCATTTTCTCGGGGCCACTGCTCTTGATCCTGGTGACTGTTTAACCTTAGAATACTAACTTTGAATACAAATCCATCCAACATTTGAAGGATGTGCCGCAGCTGCTCTAAACGGAAGCCCACTGTTCACATAACGCTGTTATTGGGAATTTCTGCTTAGATACACAACAGTTTCGAGGCTGTACATACATACCAGACCGGTTCTACCAATGTTGGGGGAAACTGGCTTATTCTGGTGAGCGTTCAACTGACCTAAGCCTTGGCCGTGACAAGAGAAAGACCACAAATTGCTACTAAAAAGTATCATTCAATCACACCCCAAGCTGCATTTGTGCCCTGATGACCAAACCGATCTAATTTATGACTGCAGTATGTTCAGCCGTGAACTAGGAGGAGGAGGAGATTGGATTTATATCCCGCCCTTCACTACCCAAAGGAATCTCAGAGTGGCTTACAAACTCCTTTCTCTTCCCCACAACAGACACCCTGTGAGGTAGGTGGGGCTGAGAGAGTTCTTTCAAGAACTGCCCTTTCAAGGACAGCTCTGACAGAACTACGGCTTGCCCAAGGTCATCCAGCAGCTGCAATTGGAAGAGTGGGGAATTAAACCCGGTTCTCCCAGATTAGAGTCCACACACTTAACCACTACACCAAAAATAAAACTACCTGGAGTATTGCCCACCACCAAAGAGCACACACACACAAAAAAAAAACTGTTTATGCACACAGGTGGAAACTGTCACAAGATGGCCTTCCACACAAGCTCCGAAACAGCCAGGCATCCAAGTGACAGTACAGGCACACGGGCCCAATGCAGAGGCAGTTCTTGACCCTGCTGGAGCAGAGCTTGCTGCTCTGCCTTGACTGCAGAAAAGAAATTTCACAGAAAAATAACTGTGCAGCACTGGCGAGGGTGAAGCAAGCTCGGTGAGATTATCTGAAAGGCCATCTGATCACACAAGAGCTCAGTCTTCGGCATGAATTAGCAGTTCTCTCCCAGCTAAATCAGAGGGTCATACTTGTACCGCAGCAACTAAAGCAGATTTACGGGATCAGGTCTCCGGTTGGCATGATTTGCAATGCTGCATTAACTTGCTGCTGAGTCCTACCTACATAACGTATCCACAAAGTGCCATTTTGAAAGGCCATTCCTGGATGACTATTTTTATTCCTGCTACACAGGATGTACTGAGCATTTAAAAGGCATCTAAAAATCTCTCCGTTCCAGGTGGGAAGAGATCCAGGCAACTTTTTGCAAGGTTTCTAATTTCTGGGTGTTCAAAAATAAAACTATCAGAAACAAGCTTCAAGTTACCGGTCGTAGGCAAGAATGGAACTTGAGTTCTTGAATCGTGGGCATTATTTAGGTGCCCGGGATTCCTCTTGTAGGGACATTTCTAGATCACACTCACTGTGGGGTATGGCTAGGAAGAGTGAGGTACAGAAGCAACAGGAGGGTAGAAGGCTGTGTGCCATCTAACCCACCCTCAGGATCAGAATAACGTTTGTAATTCTGAACAGTTTGTTTCCAACAGGCCTGTGAGAACCCTGAACTCAAAATATTGTTTCTAGCGATACGTACAGAGAGCTGTACAGATATGCAGTGGCCCAATGCACTTCATAAGCGACATCCACAAACCACATTTACAGGAAAACATCCGTTTATTTTTCCCCCCTTTTAATCAGATTCATAGACAAGCTTCTTAAATCCCAAGTATGAAGTTGTTTGTGGGGACATATCTTGCTTCATCCCATGGCAAATGCAGAAATAGTATTGCAGCCACTTTCATGCTTTACTTCAGTGTCCCTTGCGAATGCCCGGGTATTATTAGCACTGCCATACTTTTCTGCAACATACCGGCACCAAGAGCTGTTCCGATTCACTGCAAACAGAATTTTGGCACTGACGTGTGAACTTTACCCTGGTAAGAGTGCCTGCCAGTTCTCGTCAGGCATATCAAATGCCACATAAAACATGCGATACATTTTCGGCTCTGTGCTACGAAAGCCACCTACAACTCTTTTTCCTTACTTCACTCTCCCCTAACACCCATGCACTGATTGCAATATAGACACAGGGAAACAAAAAACGTTGTGGCATTTTACAGAGCAAAAAAATGCTTTTACAGAATAAGCTTTTGGTAACTAGAGACCATAACTTCGGATGCTACAAGAGGCTCCTTGCTCATTACAAGTGTTAACTAGCCTAGCAAAGCTAGTGATTTTTTCCTGTGTTTTTCTTGAACATCAAGAGATTTAAATTTCACAAAATTACATTTCACTTTGTACTTCTTGGACTACTTGAATGTACCTTTCTTAAAAAGAAAAAAAACCCTCCTACATAAATGTCTGCATAGTGAAGATGCACTCATTGCATCTTAAGAAGTGGGCTGCCGCTCAGGAGAACTTGTGCCGGAATAAAATTGCGTAAGCATTTAAGGTGCCACAGTATTCCTGTTTCTTCATCACAGGGAAGACTGAGTGATGCAGAAGTCCACAGGTTCAATCCCAGGGCTTCTCCGGTTACATGGATCAGGTAGTAGGTGATGTGAAAGACTTCTTGACTAGGACCCTTGAGAGCCACGGATAGTTAGAACAGATTGACGTGTGGTCTGGCGCAACAGAAAGCAGCTTTGTGCATGTTCAGTGATCTGCACAGGACTGAGACTGGCTGCTCTTGTTTAGCCTACCTCTCGAGGGGGGAACAACCAGTGAGATCCTTGACAGGAAAAAGTGGTAAACAAAAACTAATAGTGGAAAGCAAAAGCATATACCTAAAATATATAAAGCTGTAAGCCAAATATGAAGCAATGAGATTTTTTAAAGAACATGAACCGGTAAACATGAAAACTGATAAAGTGGTAAGCAATAAAAAGGAGTACAAAAACAAACAAAAGTAAGAAAAATAAAGAAAGCAAGCCACACACACATACACACACACACAGGTGGTCAGCTGTGTTGGTCTGAAGCAGTATAACAAATTTAGAGTCCAGTGGCACCTTTAAGACCAACAAAGGTTTATTCAAGGTATGAGCTTTCCTGTGCAAGAGGCATACCTTGAATACCTTTGTGGGTCTTAAAGGTGCCACTGGACTCTAAATTTGTTATACATACTTAAACACATGCAGTTACACATATATATGCATATACACATAAGTATACACACACACACAAACAGCAAAATAAAAACACTGAGAAAGCAGTAAGCGAAAACTGACAGATATACAAAGTATTCAACAAAAAACAAACTCCTGAAGCCGGAAATTAAAAACATACAGCAGTAACTAAACAAGAGATAAACTTGCAGCGGTAAGCAGCCAAAATAAAGCAGCAAATAAAGGTTGCAATCCAAAAGAGGTGATTACAAAAATAAAATACTGTGGTTAGGCTTAAGGCTACGGCCAATAAAGCCACCCCACTGAAGGGAGGCAAGAAAGCTGCAATCCTAAACACACCTTCTTGGAAGTAAAACAGTAAAAAGCAGAGGAGCACCTTTAAGACTACTGTGCCTTTTACTGTTTTGCAGCCATAGCCTAACACGGCTAACTCCTCTGCATCCTCTGCATCGATGTCCCTGGGAATAAGCGCCGTTGAATAACAAGGGACTTTTCTTCTGAGTCGGCCTGCTTCAGGAGGGATGCACCCCCCCCACCCCAGGAACCCCAAAGCTGTTCGCAGAAAGGAGGCCTCCCTCCAAGTGTTCCCTCTAAGCTCACAATTTTTTAGCCTCCGGCTCACACATTTTTGTCTCAGTTCAGGAAGGATGTGGCTCCAGAGCAAACTAATTCATGCAGCAGCCAAATCACCAGTTCACAACTTTAATGCCGGTGGCTCACAAAGTGGACTTTCTGCTGGCAAGACTCCACAGCTTAGGGGGAGCATTGCTTCTAACCAGTGTTCCCTCTAAGCTGAGTTAGTGTGAGCTAGCTCACAATTTTTTAGCCTCCAGCTCACACATTTTTGCCTTCGCTCATGAAGGATGTGGCTCCAGAGCAAGCTAATTCATGCAGAAGCCAAATCGCTCGCTCACAACTTCAATGCCAGCAGCTCGCAAAATGGATTTTTTTCTCGCAAGACTCCACAGTTTAGGGGGAGCATTGCTTCTAACCAGTGTTCCCTCTAAGCTGAGTGAGTGTGAGCTAGCTCACAGTTCTTTAGCCTCTGGCTCGCATATTATTGTCTCAGTTCAGGAAGGAAGTGGCTCCAGAGAGAACTAATTCATGCAGCAGCCAAATCGCTCGCTCACAACTTCAATGCCAGCAGCTCGCAAAATGGATTTTTTTCTCGCAAGACTCCACAGTTTAGGGGGAGCATTGCTTCTAACCAGTGTTCCCTCTAAGCTGAGTGAGTGTGAGCTAGCTCACAGTTCTTTAGCCTCTGGCTCGCATATTATTGTCTCAGTTCAGGAAGGAAGTGGCTCCAGAGAGAACTAATTCATGCAGCAGCCAAATCGCTCGCTCACAACTTCACAAAGGGGAATTTGGCTCACAACTTTGGCTCACAAAGGGGAATTTCTGCTAGCAAGACTCCACAGCTCAGGGGGAGCATTGCTTCTAACCAGTGTTCCCTCTAAGCTGAGTGAGTGTGAGCTAGCTCACAGTTCTTTAGCCTCTGGCTCGCATATTATTGTCTCAGTTCAGGAAGGAAGGGGCTCCAGAGAGAACTAATTCATGCAGCAGCCAAATCGCTCGCTCACAACTTCACAAAGGGGAATTTGGCTCACAACTTTGGCTCACAAAGGGGAATTTCTGCTAGCAAGACTCCACAGCTCAGGGGGAGCATTGCTTCTAACCAGTGTTCCCTCTAAGCCGAGTGAGTGTGAGCCAGCTCACCGTTTTTTAGCCTCCGGCTCACACATTTTTGCCTTCGCTCAGGAAGGATGTGGCTCAAGAGCGAACTAATTCATGCGGCAGACAAATCACCAGCTCACAACTTCAATGCCCGTAGCTCACAATGTGGGATTTCTAC